TTAGCGAGGTCGATGTTGGGGGTGGAGAGATAGTCATTCTTAATATGTATCAGTGATGGGGAGTTACTTCAAACAAACAGGTACATGAGTATATTCGTTCGTATTTCCACATTACGTCACCACCCCTACAATGGGTCATGTCATGTTAATTTCCAAGCAACGACTTTGTTGAGCCCAAACAGCCCAAATATGGAACAGTTTGCTGTAAAATCAAATATATATTTTAGGTTTCACAGCAAACTGTTCGATTGTCACCATTAGTTTGGACTAGTCAAAAATGAATCTTCTTGACCTTGAATAATATTTGTTACATTTATCGCTGCAAGTAAACCCTTTTCATAATCTTCTAAGAAATAGTAATTTCGCATTCCAAAAACCTAACGTTTTAAAAGAGTACTTGCTGTCATGGTAGAATGGAGGTAAACCTACTGCGCAAAAGCGCTCGGTTCCAAAATGAAAGAAGAGGTATCAAAGCGAGACGACCACGAATTTCAAAACACCGAGAGTTTATCTCGTAAAATATATCAATGTTTAATTCCATCAATCTTTACCTGTCATAGTCCATAGATGTAGCTGGCGATATTCTATTCAACCATAGAAGTGCTTTATTTCTAACAGTTATCCTGAGACATATTGCGTTTAAAATATTCTGAATAAGTGGAATTTTATGCATAAATTTCAAAACAAAAGAATTATTGAGACTGGACAGTCAAGAAGTGTTTTGTTATCACAAATCTCATGCGTGATCATCACTCATGTGTGGTATCAATCAAAACAGACACTGGCATGTCGTAAAGCATGATCAAATGAAACTGATTAATATTAGATGCATTAACACAATTATCAGGGCGTATGGCAATACATTGCAACAATGGAATTTCAATAGATGGAGCAGTTCACATGAATGCCTGATTTGTTTACAGGCCGTCTACGTATCACAATAGTACTACTGTTCCGCGATAGGCTTGATGAAACACTTAACAAATGATGGCGGATGCTTCCCGTAGGGCAGAACACCCGTACTGTTTTCGCGAACATTTGGTCTCGTCACTATTTCTAAGTATACCATACCTATAATTTTCACCACTACTTTGCCCTTTGCGCCCTATGAAATCTGTCTCGGCAGATAATCGGGATTGTATATTCTCTGACTTTGACGTTTTATTTGTATTCAGTAAACATCGCATAAACAAGGAGTCACTGAAAACTAATTGATGTTTGATGCAGTGCAATATTTATAAGGACGTGTGCCTTGTTCGGATCTGTAGTAACGCTGCTTTTGTTTGTGGTACTTGCAATGTGTTGCAGCTGGACGTTATTCACGATGTAAACAGGGATGATCAAGTCTTTGAGATGAGATGCGCCCCTCAGACGTGCCGAAGACAGTTGGTCGCGTGTTTTTGCCCCAAATCGCCATAACATATTTTTTATTGAGGTGTCAGCCCTATATCCGCACTCGTATGGCTCACGATTGTTGTAAACATACACGGCTGGCTCACTTCAGGCATCCTTTTAACATCGTTCTGACATGACGTGATACATCGGATACACTGTTCAAAGATGTCAACATTCACTCCAAAGTGTGTTGTTTCCAACTAAAGCAATGCTTATCATTTTATTCCAAAGACACGGAACTCACTCTTTACTCAATAGGTTTGGGCTTTAGAGAAGATCAATCCATGACGTGGTTCGGATGATATGCATCACCATTTACTTCAACATCGGAGGTGTATGTACCAATTCCACTCTGATGATACAAATGCTAAAAGAGTTTGACATGAACCTGAGCTTCTGTTGTAATGGATGTAATTTACTTTTAAATTAGGTGTTATCACAAGTTGGAAAAAGCGTGTGTAGTTTCGACTTTCTTGGTCAAGTGATGTTGGCAGATGACGCCATAGTCGACGGACGCCAGACAAGCAGTTCATCACATGAGCTCACTTGACTTTCATTCAGATAAGCTAAATGAGAAACAACAGGGCTTTCCAGCATTTAGAGTAGCGTTCCAATTTGACCACCCCTGTGAAGGTTCAAAATCAGGTCACGACTGTCCATGGTAGTGGATCTCTCTCCCACTTTAAATGTCAGGTAGAGTAGATCCTTTTGTAGCCAGAGGCATGTAGATCCTGTTTTGTGAAAATGACGAATAGACTTGGTAGATTTTCTTGACATTAGGATAAATTACGTGATATCGGACCAACGATGGCCGATGACCAACAACATCAGCGTTTATTGACGATTTTAAGGTAAGCATGTATAACCCCAACCGATGCCCTTTCATTATCAAGATGAAACATCGAACTGACCTTTAGTATGAAACATGACAAGTTGAGTTAAAGCCCTAACCCAGTTAAATTAAAATTGACTTACTGAACGCTACGATTAAGACATATTTAACGAAGGGAAATACTGTGGTCAGTATATAGAGGATATTGTATGAGTTTATGCCATACTATGTTTACGATACAAGTGTCTAAATACCGTAATTTTGGCACGAGTGTCGTACCCATATTATGACATGAACACGAATATAATGTTCTACTTATTACTGTAGAAGATGTCTTCATACAGAGACAAATTTTGGTGTTTAACTATAAGGACAGCAAGTCGCAATACAGCGGAACCACAATTTGTCGAATGTAGTCAACAATCTTTAGCTCTGACGTCGTTTCTAATGTGACGGCATTCCGACGTCAGGTCACAATTAGAATCGAATAACGTCAACAATGCCGTCCGGATGACGGAAACAATACACCGTTGTCTTTTGACGTGATATGACCCTATGGTACATTTTCTATCAACCCCGATATCTTTGTCCTCGTAGGTAGTAAAATGTGATATGTGGATGTGATAATTATTGAACTACTTGCGTGTCGACATCAACCACACTGTGATTGAACACCTCAATGTGAGTGTGTCATTGTACTGAACAGTATGAATGTGGGTTCCTTAACCCTGCAAGAATGCGTTGATGCGTTCGAATCACAGCTCTATATCAGTTGTATGACGGATACAGGAAATCACTTACAATAAATATCATTGTCATTAGGTGAGCCGTTGTGACATGTTCCTTTTGTTTAATGCCGAATTCAAGCTTTATGACGAGTGCCTGTAATATTCACGCCTCGACAAATGATTGATAGTATGAGCAACACATCACGCCGATGATGTAATGATGACACACATTCAAACGTCCCAAAGCCTGACAGCGCGATTCATGAGGTCGCCTCTTAGCAAGAATCCCGTTCAAGCGACCTGTCAGAACCAACTTATCAAATGTGAACAAGCAAAACATGTGTTGTATAAGAGCCATATCCTATTGAGAGTATATTGTGCTAACGCTCTGTTATCCTGCTTTTCTGGCCATATATTATGGGATACCAGCCTCGGAATAATCCAGGTCATCCAGAACCAACTTGTTTGTCTACTAACTATACATGTGATTTTTAATGACTGACATCCTACATCTCCTGGGAGTATAATAGGATATATATCGTCTCCCAGAACTCTTCAGTTATATTAAAGACAGTCGGCAATAATCAATATGTGCAGCACAAAGCGACCAATGTATGTAACAGACATAACGTACTTTGACAAGACAGCAGCAATAATCTGCATTTATAATAATTTAAGTGAATGTCAAAAAAGGCCAATGGCGATGTATATATTGCTTACTACAACGTCTTGAAATATTTTGTTAAAAAGAAGCGAGTAAATTAATATCCATTTGAAGCACATCTTTAATAATGAGTTGGATTACAGTAAGTAACTGGCTCGCATGCCTGGTCGTAAGAGGCAATGCATTTAGAATGTGTCTTCTGAACTTGTTGATAGCGTGATTGTTGTCCTTGATGACGTAGATCGTTGCTCATGTTGTCAGGCAGTGGTTTGACAAACTTAGATGACTCACAGGCGGCCGTGATATCTAGAATACTGTGGCGTTATACCAACTCGTACAGTGCAGACCCATATTCCACATATGTAGAATTTTGAACTGTATCATACTGCCATTTTGAAGCGCATATGTGAGCATAGAGTCTTCATATCAAAGACTTCCTATGGCGTGCACATTGCTGATGGTCATAATGTAAAGTTTATTTTATGCTTATCGAGGTGAAATAGTTTGTTTTGAGAAGACTTTCATGAAAGTCCGAATGACACGTGACCCTCATCTCTCTGAGTGAAAATAATCATACGTGAGCTCTAAAACTGAGTAAAATATGAATTCAATGCAATGGGAAGACTGGAGTTATGGCATGGAATCATAAGGCTTGAAAGAAAAGATGACTATATTTGATTTGTCGGAAAGTTTTGTTGTTTTTGGTGTTTGTCCTTACAGTCATAAATATTCCAGCCGCCCTCAAATAGTCCTCCCTTAACCAGGCAAACCAGTGGTTGATAGTATGAGCACCGACCCACGATATCGCTATACGATGACACGCAATCTCCCAAGTCACCCGATTTTCTTTTAACCATGAGTTTCTGACACAGAATCCCGACCACGAACCAATGCTTTCAAAATAATTAGCTATTGTGGAAAACAAATAGTTGTTGAAAATTGGAGCAAATAATGATATAGTTAATACAACTCTCTGATTCTCTTTGAACAGTTAAGAAACATTGGTACTTGCCTACAATTACCCACTTCAAATATTATGCTGTTATGTCTACATTCTATATTTTGATATGTTAATAAAACCAACCTTAGTCTGACATTAGTGTGATTGAAAGTCAGAAATGATAGACGGTTTGCACACTGCTTGCGTAAAATGTTATTTCAATGAAAGAGAAAGATTCGAGGAGGTCACAATTTTTATTCAGAAATGTGAAGGGATAATAAAGTAAAACACCAGTAAGTAGTGATGTACATTTCCATTGTGTAGGTATTTATTTCCATGTATCATGGTCCGTAGTAGTTATGTGACCCATTAGTTTAACTGTTGATTGCATACATCCTGCATGGCACGGAAATAATGACCAATTAGAACAGCTGTTGTACACTAGACAATCTCATAGATGGAAATCCTCCCGTATCCCCCACACATCGTGCTTCTGTCACCAGGACATGGGACGTTGCATTCACTGTCGGGTATCTTCATGTACCCATCTTTGATGACACGGCCACAGAAGCATTTACGCCCTCCCTGGAATCAGAAGTAGCATGTGCAGTACTGTATCTGATTTCCTGCTTATTTGGAAACTCCAACACTAAGCCCCCGATAACTTGTTGTATATGTCTGAACTTGTGATTCTGAAGAAGGAAAAACAAACTGGACATGAGGTGCTCGTCACAAAGGCAATTGGATTAACATCATGGTACAAATATGCATGTCGCCAGCCACAGAAATGTGAGTATCTCGTGGTTATAATGCGATATGTATCCGGTGTGATGGGCTGGTGTCATGTGTTTGTCTGATGTACTAGTTTAACGGTCTAGTCTGGTGTATGGGCCTAACGAAATGGTCTCATGCACTGGCCCGTATGAGGTTCTGGTCAGATGTACTGCTCTGAGGTGCTGGTCAGACGTATAGATTTGATGCTAGCCTGCTGTATTTGTACAATAATATGAAATAAACCAAGTTACCAAAACCCAACAAACGATCAATTTCTCCTCATACGATACGCCATAGGAACCAATTCTTACCCAGAAACCCCATGTCCTCCCATATAGCGTAGTGATGTGGATTGTGACAATGAAATATGTGCATCAATAGTATTTGCATCGCTACTACATAATATACGAAACATGCATCCCTTAATATCATGCGAATCTGTACTGATACATGGTTTTCTTGCAACCCTAATTTGGGCGATCTCTGTCTTCCCACTGGTACAAATGTAGAATGTTCCAACTCAAACCACCAGTATATAGCCGCAGAGTGACATCATATTGGCTCTGTTACCATTTTAACTTAACCGGAAGAATAATAACAACAGTTTACCTATGTTTGAGCTGGAAAGACGTTTTAAGTCTCGTGTGGTAGACGGTAGCTCACAAATATTTGTTTTAGTTACATAAAAGCCCTGTTCATCATGTCTGCTTTAAATTTAAATCTAAACAGACTGTCACACTCAAGTATTGGTATCTTGCTAGGTACCTTTCCTCGACCAATGTGTTCGTCCTTCGCCAAGTACTACATGGAGTTTGGGAAGAAACCTAGCTACATTTGAAAATCAGCAAGTGATTCTATCTGCTTTTAACTTTTAACACTTGTGTTTCTGTTGCATTTGAATGTTTGTACTACTGTTTATTATTCAAAAAAATATATAATTATTATAAATTTCAATATTGTCTACCCTAAGTCCAAAGAAGATGTAGTTCATTCCGTGGCAATGAAGCTTGCATGTTTCAGTTGTCAGGCATGTTCCGTTCACCAATTTGCCGTGTGGAAGTACATGACTCTTGTCATCGTTGTAACACCCAACGTATGTGTATGGATCTGTAGAACGAGTAGACAAATAATAATGATCAGTAGGGGACATCAAATATATTTTGAAGAAATTAGCCAAATGTAATTGGTAATGAAATACATGCAAATTAAATGTTATAAGAGAAAGGTGTGCTCACGACCAAGCATGACGAACAGGTGAAAATTAAAGGAATTTACTTAATATTAACGGTATAATTGTACGGTCCCTGTGTAAATCATATGGACAAAGAGAAATTGTTTGCGATTACTGAACAAGTATATTATATGAACACTGCTTCCGGAATGCGACACAGAAAATATTGACGTCTAACAAGACAATAAGTTGTTTTAGTGATGGATTCTCTTATATATACTTTGAAAATATAGAATTTTTATCAGTAAAAGAAATCCGAGTACTTGTAGCTGTAAACACGAGACGTGTCGCACTACACCTACCATTTGCCTGATTAACAGTGACAGGGCATGGCGTGGTAGTAGTCGTAGTTGGGGGGGTTGTGGTAGGCGATGGAGTCGTGGTAGTAGTGGAAGGTGATGGAGTCGTGGTGGTGGTGGCTGGTGATGGAGTCGTGGTGGTAGTGGAAGGTGATGGAGTCGTGGTGGCAGTGGTAGGTGAAGGAGTCGTGGTGGTAGTGGTCGGTGATGTAGTCATGTTGGTGGAAGCGGTAGCAGATGGCGTCGTTGACAGTTTGGTAGTAGTGGTCGTGGTGGTAGTGGTAGGTGATGGAGTCGTAGTGGTAGTGGTCTGTGATGGAGTCGTGGTGGTAGTGGGAGGTGGTGGGGTCAAAGTGGTAGTGGTCTGTGATGGAGTCTTGGTGGTAGTGGTAGGTGATGGAGTTGTAGTGGTAGTGGTAGGTGATTGAGTCGTGGTGGTAGTTGGAGGTGGTGGAGTCGTGGTGGTAGTGGTAGGTGGTGGAGTCGTGGTTGTGGTGGTAGCAGATGGCGTCATGGACAGTGTGGTAGTAGTGGTTGTGGTGGTTGTGGTAGTGGCGGCTGTTGATGCCACACACACGTATGTAGTCCCTGCTTCAAGTGGCACACAAACCTCGTTCTCTTTACACGGACGGGCGCGACACACCATCCCCTGAGCCTCTTTCTGCCAACACATATGAAAAAAACATCACAGTTTCTACTCTGAACTTTGGATTCCATTAGGATTATACATACAGGATGCGATAATATTTTTGAGTGAAAAATATAAACGCCCATGGATCTTTTCAAAAACCTGTTCTAAATGTAGAAAAAAAATGAAACATAGGTTTCATACATGGATACATGGAGCCTTTTTAAGTTGTCCCGACAATGTTATTGCTGATACACTGTTTGAAACTCATTTCGGTGTGCCCCAATATCGTATTGCTGAAATATTACTTGAAGCAGCATAAAACCCAAATCATTCCCAGCTAGTTTTAAAGGGTAGTGGTAACAGCAATCATTGAGTATAGCAACACGAACAACCTCCTAAATTCTAAATCTGTTTATCTCGAAATGTATCCCTCTTTGGAGTGTATATCCCTTGTATTCCAGTTCATCATTCTCCTATTACCTAGAACGAGCATCAGTTTGCAACATTGGCCGCAAACAATTATTTCGTATATTATTTGTAAGGGTGTGGTTGTGGGCAAGTGGCGAGGTTGCAAAGGTAATGTGTGAAGTTGTGGGAAAACGTGTGTTCTTGGAGAAAAGGATTGGTTGTCCGAAATGGTTGAGGTTGTAGAGATGGTAAAGTTTTGAGATTGCGTGAGATTTTCGAGAAGCAATGTGGGTTGTGGGGGACGGCTGGGGTTGTTGGGAACGGGGCGTGGTTTTGCGAAAGATCTGAGGTTGTGGGAAGTGGTGATGTTGGGTAAGGCGTATGCTTGTTGGGAATTAGTGCTGTTGTATCTGGTTGTGTGGTTGTGTGAAAGGTTGCGGTTTTTGTGAAAGGGGTATAGTTGTGAACATGAACTTTGTGTGAAATCGAGCGATTATGTCAGAGTTGTTGCAGTTTTGTGGAAGCATGAGGATTTGTTGTGTGGTGTGTGGCTGTGAGGAAGGTTTGATGTTGAGGAGAACATATGCAGTTGTGTGGAGGGGGCGTGGTTGAACAAGAGGTGGTGCTGTTAGACAGGGGTAAGGTTGTAGGAAAGGGGCGCTGTTGTGGAAAAGCTCTGCGGTTCTGGGGAATGTGTTAGGTTTGCGCTAGGGGTTAATGAGTGTGAGTATGGTTTTACGCCGCTTTTAAGCAATATTCCAGCAATATCACTGCGGGAGACACATGAAATGGGTTTCACACATTGTCCCTATGTCGGGAATCGAACCTCGGCCTTCGGCGCAACGAGCGGACGCTTTAACCACTAGGCTAGCGCTAGGGGCTAGATTCTGGAGAAAGTGTGATGGTTGTGAACAAGACGCATGAAAGGTCAACTATCATATTCTTAAACATGCTTCATGTTAATGAAGTACAGAACAGTATTTGAGAATTGACTGCATTTGTTAGGACTTAATAAAGATATTATACCTCAATGTAGAAATGATCTACAGAAACATAGCTTGCATTTGTATGGACACTGTATATACAGCTTTATGAATACAACTGCATGCATACAAATACATTCTCCGACTTGTGTGTCCTGTGTTTACCAACACCAATTCTCAAAGACAAAGGGGGTTGGGATTTTAGTCGCAGCTGAATACATCTATAATGAGTTGCCTAATGGGTAAAGAAAGCAACCAGACATTAATCTATGACTCGGGTAAGAAAGTGCATGGCAAACTGAAAACAAAACACGAGAAAGACAATGTAACGCTCATACACTTTACATTTCCACGGAAGCAGAGTCTTGTTTCTATGTGATCTAAGTGGACTACCATCAAGGAGGAAGTTTGTTTTCATTCGGTAAGGTGTGGTGGATGATTAATTCAAGATTGGAAATACCTTTGTTTTCCTATACATATTCATATTTGTGTATTGTTACAAAAGGGAACAACAAAGTCCCAACACATTCCGTACAATAATATCCAGAATGGGTTTGTAATTACTTACTTATTTAATGAAGATAACAATACACTACTTCTTTTGTTATACAAATAGGTGATTTCATCCTATAAATGTTATTATGTTATTTAACTTACCAAATACTTTGCATGGGGCATCGTCTCTGTCTCTGTGTCTCCTTGTGTGTGCAGGTGGCAGCTTCTGGTGGCAGCATCCCAGGTGTAGGAGCCACACCTAGTTGTGTAGGTACACAGAGAATCACATACCAGCGACGAAGGCACCACCCTGGTAAGGAACACCCCCTCGCCTTTACATGTGGCGTGGCTACATATAATGTAGACTGTAAACAGCTCAAATACAAACATGTACATGGTTGAGGGTACTGTTAGATTTTACTTACTCCTACAGACGCCGACTAGCCACTAACATGCAAATAGTAACGTACAGCTTAATATATCAAGCCATGGGGAATTAACGTGCACATTAATATTGATAATGAAGTTCTGCAAGTGCTAACATAAGGACTGACAACTCATTGATTGATTTTCTATAAGTGAGGGACGGCGGTTTTCTTTTGGGTAGAGCATCAACAAAGTAAGGAAAATGATTAGAATGTTTGCGAAAATTTGATTGAACACATATTAATGCTACACACACACAGAGGAAGACAATGTCTCTTACTAGATCCCAGAACAACCTCCTGTTGTATCCATCCTACACATGGTCACATATATCTCACTCCATCCTACAAATGGTAACGTGAACAGCCGGGGTAGAATAGATCTTCAGTAACCCATGCTTGCTGTAAAGAGGCGACTATGCTTGTCGTAAGAGGCGACTAATGGGATCTGGTGGTCAGGCTCGCTGACTTGGTTGATGCATGTCATCGTATCCAAATTTCGTTGATCGATGCACATGATGTCAATCACTGGATTGTCTGGTCCAGACTCGATTATTTACAGACCGCCGTCATACAGCTGAAATATTGCTAAGTGCGGCGTTACACAACTAACAAACAAACAAAACTTTGAGGAATTCACAACAATCACTATGACGAGGTATGCATATCTTGCAATCAACCTGAATCCAGTTACTGGAATGTTAAACCCGGGCTTGGTTAAAACAAGAATTGCAGTTAGATCCCCTATATTCTGTAGATCTCCTGTAGTCAAGAGATGCAATAGCGAGGCAGAACAATGTCAATTTATGAGGGACAGCCAGCTACTCGAACATATATAAACATAGCAGCCAAAGATAAAAATGAAATCATATCATGTACGAAAATAGAAATCATATCAACACAAAAAGAGAAAGTGTATGTGTACTAAAACTGGCAATAGATATGCGTACCCTACGTACACACATGAGTCCCATTCGACTGTCTACAACACACGAATAACGGTCAAACAAGTTTGGGTACCCCTTCTGTTCAAGCAAGTTATTTAGTTCAATAATTTTGCATTAAAATCCTTTTCAATTTGTTTGCACCATTTTCTCTATTCCATGCATGTTTATGCTGCTACATCTTATTGCTCATGTTTCCAAGTATTGTAAAACACTTCAGTGTTTCTCCTTCTTAATCTAACGTTATAACATTTCAGGTCATTACCATCATCTAATACACAAGAGATGATACCAAGACATATTTTATTCGGTTTTATGGTCTATGCGGTCTTACAATTGATTTAATTAGTCTTCAAATCTTATGTCTAGTACATATTTTCACAAACAGGGCTGTTAGATGGTATAAGGAAGGTAACATCCAGTTGAGGACTGAATACGACGTACTTTAGTCTGTTAACGACGTTTCTACAATTAATATTTTGAATAAGCCGTTAATACGCCAGTTGTGACAGGGATGATGGTATGGTAGCTGTAGCAGACAGATTGACAGCCGTTGTTACGTGAGTCACTAGGTTATTAGTACGGCATTGGCCTTGTTGATTATTACTCTACTTTGAGGATTTCTGTGGCCAGTGGCGGACGTAGTTTAAACTCCTTCCACACTGACATCGCACCAAATATATATGTGTACCGATAACATAACTCTTACTGACAGGGTAGGGTGGTAGTTCACGCGAAACGGACGACACTGTGTAAATTGAGCGGCTCCTTTAATATCGCCTCACAACATACTTTTAATGAATGACCCATTAAACGATGATACACATCAGAATCGCGGAGAAAATACAAGATTCGTTCTCGTTGAATATGTATATATCAAGGCACCAATTCATCTTTCATCCATATATCAACGAAAATATGTAATACATGTATCCACAAAAAATATACATGTACAGGGCATTGCCTAAAAGTCGGGCCGGGCCAAGACTGGCAAAAGTGTTATTGGCTAATTACTTCATTATCGGCGATCATACCTTCATATAATTGATGCAATATAAACACATGACATGAATGAACAATCACCAAACAAAAATGTGCATCATAATTAAGTAATTCGGAGTAAATCGATGGAAAACCAGAAAGTGGAGCTGTGTGTAAGCGTCGCTGATCTAGCTAACCTGAAAAGAGCAATCGTTAACCGAAATAAGATTTAAAACGTATCAAATACTTCTAGCTATCGTGATTAAAATTTCCATCTGTCGGCATAGCGTTTATATTTATAGGAACGTATTATATCGCAATAAATACCACTTTATAATGTCACTGTTCGTCGTATTTAAAGCAGACACGTTGGTTAAAGTAGACCTCTTCTCCCTATACTCTGAACAGTCACACAAGTGTTCGGTCCGACTTGGCCCGGGCTGTCAAAATCAACTTAAACCTCACAGATGTATCATCAAAAGGATTCAAATCGATAGATTAGTATTATATCTACCTAAAAACCACATTATAGTGTCTCAGATCGCGGTATTTAAAGAAAACAAGGGGCTGAAAGTGCAGCCCTTTTCCCTCTACATTCTCAACATAGTCTCTATCAGAAGTGTTTGGCTTGTGTTGGGTCCGACTTGGCCCGGGCTGTCAAAATCAACTTTAAACACACAGATGTATCTTCAAATGTGTTTACATCTATAGATTAGTGTTATATCTACCTATATACCACTTTATATTGTCACAGTGTATGGCATTTAAAGAAAACTGGGCCGTTAAAGTCAAGCTCTTTTACTGTATTTTCTTAAGAAATATATTAGCAAATAAGAATATGTGATTGATCACTTACACACTTCAATGGTTTCACAATTTTTTTATTAAAATGAACGACATTTCACTTCTGACATGCTTGATTGTATTGCAGTCATTACATTTCCCCAAGACTCTGAACCAGTTTGATATAACGATTGTTACAACAGTGGAATTGCTATAAACGCATTGACGCGAGAAGGGACGCGGTAACTAAAGAATTATAACATTAACATAAAAACATTTTTTGGGGGGATTTTTTTAGATTTTGGGATATTGAGATCCCGCCTTGTGTTATATGGCATAACGTGTTTAGTCAAAACACACACATCCTCTGTTCCTTTTGGGACTTAAATCTAAATCCTGAGAACCTGTTGTGTTTACCTTGACACACTTTTTCTCTGGAATGAGTAAGATACACATTTGAAATGGAACTCGAGTCTGCGGCGTGCTTAGCGATCAATATTACTGTAAGGCCACAATAGCACCCGAATAGGCCTCTGAAAAGCGACGCCACTGATTACGTTACTGATTGTTGTTTAAGACAACCAAACCGGAAATGACAACGTGACAGCAGAGATCACATCAGCAATAAGTATGGGTTTCATATGATTTATTTTGTAAAAATGCACTGAAGTGTAGCGTAATTCACTGTGTTTGAATTCCAATATCTTCCAGATGAAAAATTATATCGCCAACTTGAACAAGGGGATATTATGTTGTGACAACATAGTCTGTTTATGTTTGTCACTGTGAATAGCCATGAACAAAACGACGGAAATTATCATAAATAATTTGTTGCACGTTATTCTACTGCTTTACTGTCCAGATCATATTACACTGCATCATGAATAACACACCCCAAGTCAAATTAATGACACTTTGCATAATTGACACGATCGTTGAGTTTTGCCGTAGTTGACGGTTGGTGTAAAATTTGCTTCCATCATCTCGAGGACACGATGCTTGCCCATTGCCCATTGTCTTGCGAACTAAATTATTACGATCTACAATTAATGTTCCCTTTGAATTCGTTATAACCGTAGTTTGTTGTATAAACTTACTTTGATATTCCCAATGGTGCGTGAATGTTACTGAGTATTTTATGTGTCGGGGGCACGGGTGGCCCAGTCGTCTAAGGCGCCGCGATTCGCTGTGCAGAGTTGAAGATACAAGCCAAACACTTCTGATAGAGACTATGTTGAGAATGTAGAGGGGAAAGGGCTTCACCTTGAGCACCTTGTTTTCTTTAAATACGATGTACCTTGACATTATAAAGTGGTATATAGGTAGATTTAATACTAATCTATAGATGTAAACCCATTTGAAGATACATCTGTGTGTTTAAAGTCGATTTTGACAGCCCGGGCCAAGTCGGACCCAACACAAGCCAAACACTTCTGATCGAGACTATGTTGAGAATGTAGAGGGGAAAGGGCTTCACTTTGAGCCCCTTGTTTTCTTTAAATACGATGTACCGTGACATTATAAAATGGTATATAGGTAGATATAATACTTAGCTATAGATGTTAATCCATTTGATGATACATCTGTGAGGTTTAAGTTTATTTTGACATTTTGTATTAAGAAAATACAGTAAAAGTGCTTGACTTTAACGGCTCAGATTTCTTTAGATGCGATACACTGGGACATTATAAAGTAGTGTATAGGTAGGTATAATACTAATCTATAGATGTAAACACGTTTGAAGATCTGTGTGTTTAAAGTCGATTTGGACCGCCCGGGCCAAGTCGGACCCAACACAAGCCAAACACTTCTGATGGAGACTATGTTAAGAATATAGAGGGGAAAGGGCTTCACTTTGAGCCCCTTGTTTTCTTTAAGTACAGCGATCTGAGACACTATAACGTGGTATTTAGGTAGATATAATACTAATCTATAGATGTGAATCCATTTGATGACACATCTGTGAGGTTTAATTTGATTTTGACAGCACGGGCCAAGTCGGACCGAACACTTCTGACTTGGTTTTTCTTAAGAAAATACGGTAAAAGTGCTTCACTTTGAGCCCCTTGTTTTCTTTAAATACGATGTACCGTGACATTATAAAGTTGTATATAGGTAGATATAATACTAATCTATAGATGTAACACATTTGAAGATACATCTGTGCGGTTTAAAGTCGATTGTGTCACAATATTCACTCACGTTTTCCTCAATCGCATTGAAACAAAATTCCCACTGGTCAGTTCGCCACCGCAGTAATTAA